CAAGCATATCCTATATAATAAAAGCCTAATATGCTAAGTGTCTGGTCGTCCAGTTAGCCGTTCAACCAATCAAAGCATAATATGCTAATGATATGCTAAGGCCACTTAACTGCTCACTGTGATGTGCACTGACCACCAGAGGGCAGACGCTTCAACCGGTAGGTTAGCTTGCTGCTGGGGTCTGGCCAATCGGGACTGAGCGAGTCAGGCCGGACACATCCTGGAGCCCTCCTGTGTCCCTCCCTGGCCCCAATCGTGCACTGGTGGGGTCCCTTGGCCTGGCTTGCACCCTCTTGCCATCCGGGACCCCTCGGGGGATGTCGGAGAGCCGGTTTCAGCCCGATCCCGCAGGCCAGGCTGAGGGACCCCACTGGTGCACAAATTCGAGCATGGGGCCTCTAGTAAGTATATAAGTTCTTTGGTTTATCTCTTCTCGTCCCCCCAACCCCACATCGAGGTATATTAGTCTGTCCCATGCCTCCATGCTTCAGGTCTTATTTTATTGGTCAATTCATTTTGTTCATTAGCTTCCACAAATAAGTGAGATCATGTGATATTTGGTTTATTTCACTTAGCATAATATTTTCCAGGTACATCCATGCTGTCCCAAAGGGTAAGAGATCCCTCTTTTTTATAGCTGCATAGTATTCCATAGTATAAATGTCCCACAGCTTTTTATCCATTCATCTACTGATGGGCACTGAAGCTGTTTCCAAACTGATTTTCTTATTTGAGTTGAGCTGTGGTTGCTTCCAGCTATTCTCAGACATTTTATTCCTATCTGCTTTTGGTCACCCAAGAATTCCTAAAATCTCTGATCAACCATAGTACTCTTTTGTGGTTTGTGGTGGTGGTGTGTGTCTGTTCTCAGTGCTGTTTTGGATTTTCAAGTGTCTTTCCATGAGACTTTTAGCGTGACAGACAATTCCAGCCACAAAAGGGCCCAGCCTAACAGATACTGTGTGGTCTTTGGAGATCGCTGCTATCCAGGCCCTCGCTGGTCTTGACTGAGTAACTTCAGCTGGTCTAAGATGACAGTTCTTCCTCGCAGCTGGATGAATACATCCACAGTCTTTTAGAAAATATATCTTTTTTATCACTTAACAGGATTTGGAGTATGAGGTGAGGTTCAACATTTTCATCCTGTCTCCTCCCTCCATTAATTATTTGCCAAGACAAAAGTGAGTTGTGTCGTGGCCACCGTGTCTTACTTGACCTTGAGTAGGAGGGATAACAGAGCTTAAACCCCCATTTTTCTCAGTCCACAAGACAGGAACTGGTTTGTGGTATGCTTCCATATGTCCCTTGGACAGACCCTGAATTCAGCATGAATTGTGAGAACTAGTATTTTCGCTCATCTGATAAACTGTATTGAACATCCACCCTGATAATAATTTCATCCTCCGTTTGTGCTATATTTCCAATGAATCAATACTTCATGTATATTAACTCATTTGGTCTTTACAACAATCATATTTATTGTTCTCATTTTAGAAATGCAAAAACAAGGCATTAAACCAATTGGGCACCTAGGAAGTTCATGATTTAGATCTCAAATCCAGTTTCTGCTCCCAATCCAGCACCCTCTGCACTTCTTGAGAAGAGCAGTGTAGGGTTATGGGTATTTAAGCAAATAACATTCCTCACAGTATGTTGTAATCACCACAGTAGTCGGGCCATGTGCCATGGAAGAGTAAAGGTTGGAGAACCAGTTTTACCTGGGAGAGATAACATCTGAACTGGGCTTGAAGCAGAAAAAAATATCCTAGGCAAAGAGAGGAGAAGCATGTGAAAAGTCTTGGAGACATGAAAAAGCATAGCGTTTTGAGTAATGGAGAGACGTCGGGCATGGGTGAAGCAGAGAACAGAGCCATGAGGGAAGGTGTGAAGAGAGGAAAGGAAGATAGCTGAGTCTGCAAAATCCACTGAGATCTGCCCTGTGATGACGAGGGAGCACCCTGGACAGTAAGCTTGTGGAGCTGTGGCTTGTCTGGGAAGAGCTGGCCAGGAAGCTGTCTGAGCTCAGGATAGACATCTGTTTGGAGATAAAGATGTAGGTCTCAGCGTTATATAGGTGAAAGTTGGGGATTTCTCAAAGGGAGAGAAAGCAGAACAAAATGAGAACAGAGCTGAAGGCAGAAGTTGGGGCACAGTACAATTTAGGAGGTGAACAAAAGAACAACAGATCAAAAAAGACATGGAGAAGAAATGTTTAGGAAAGCAGGAAGAGAGAGCCAGGAGGGGGCAGCGTGGGGAGAAGAGAGCTTCCATCAGTGCTCAGTGGTGTTCGGCAGTAGGATGTTGAGTAGGTTTCAAAAATGGCTTGCATGTTGCCATCATTGCCTTCTCCTACACTTTGGTGCAGGTCCTCAGACTACCTCTAATGGTTAAAGGGTGTCTTGAACCAGCTGTCACCTTTTTAGTATGATGCACTGAGGATCTGACATAGTTCTTTCTCATATGTTTTAACTCTTGGACAATATATAATTATTTTTAATGTAATGTAATGTGTAGATTCTAAAGGCAACACTTTTTTTTTAATCTGTAAGCGTTGATTAATGTGAGAAAAACTTTTAAAAAAGAATCAACTACACCTGAAGAAAAAAAAGGTTGATCAATATGGATTTCATATTGATATTATGTAAAAACACTCTTCCTAAACTCATAGAGATCTGCTCCCAAAATTCCAGATATGAATGTGTTAGGATTTTAGAGCTAAATTCTAACACTTTCTTTTCCCAGCGGAGTTTTCCTCCTCCCTCCATAACAGCCCATCCCATGGAGGTGAGAATGAGACTTGGCGACTGATTTCTCTTTAGCCAGGCTTCTAGGAGGGTCCATGCTATTTGCAGCTGATGTCAAGTAGCAAGAACAGCGGGGCAGCTCCTTGTGCTGAAGAGCATAATCCTATTACGCCTGCCTTGAGACTCTCACCTTAGCTGCCTCTATCACAGTAGATGGACTGAGGTGACTCCATTGACTTTTAAATCCCCAAGGATCCTCCTTTCAAAATCCCATGTGTAAGTCAAGTAGTAGATTAGCCCCTTGCTAAGAAGGCCTGGCCCCCTCAAATCCCTGTGGCCATAGTTTTTTCTTTGGTGTGTTTGGGTCCCATCTTTTCTGAGGTCCACCATTAAGCACTGGATTGATGCACAGTGGTGGTCCTTGGCAGGAGGCGGGCCCGGCTGGCGTCTCCCTGGGTCATGGATTTAGTACCAGTCTTTGTATAGTCGAGATTAGGAATATACCCTTCATAGATGCTGTAAGAGAGGCATATCTTCTTTTGTTCATGCTAAACTGTCCTTGAGAAGGTGATGTGCAAGGTGTGCGAAGAGTTTTCTTCCTCTGATGGCCCCCACTTGATCTGCCATCAACCCCATCTTATGAATGGTTGCAAAAGTGTTTAATCCAATTAACTATTTTAGAGTATTTACAATTCAGTTTTGATTGCTCAGAGTACTTACCTATAATTGACTAAATTTCAGATGTAATTTGCTGGCCCAAATGTTGTACTCTGTCAGTTAAACTTCTTATGCAAAGGTTTGAGTTTTGAATATCATTTTGCTGAGGGTTTTTTTCCACCGACACGAATAAATATGCAGGTACCTTCACATGTACTGCTTCCTTCAGCTCTCACCTCTCTCTCGGGAAGGCATGTCCCAGCTTACAGATGAGACTGAGGCTGATGTCACACGGCTGGTGGGGGGTGCACTGAGGTTAAAACTTTATCTTCAGCCTGGAAATCCAGAGCGCTGTTCAGTACACTATCACTCCCTGAATTTATTTGACCCAGGACCACTTTTTAAAAATACAATGTAATTAAGCATGGAACGCCACCAATAGCTCATTAAGATTTAAATATTTAATATACAGTAACATTGAATAATACAATAAGTTACTGAAATTTTAAGACAAAATGTGTAGAATAGACTGACGATTACGTAGTAGGTAACATGCATGACTGCAGCAATTAGCTGAGAGCAAATGCTGCCTGTCCATCAACATGGAGCTTGACTTCCTAGTACTCTCAGAATCAATAACCAATTTGTTTGAAAATTTCAATAACACATCAGTCAAGGTTTCTTACATTGCAGAGAGCAATAGAATATCTCAATTCTTCACCAATCAGATGTTCTCTTTGATCTATAGTTAAACACTATTGGTGATTCCAGAATAATTATAGGCGTGAAAGTGATTAGGAATCTATTCTGTCCTTCCATGTCAAAATGTCCATAACATCCACATAACCTATCTTTAAAGCAAGATTATTGGATACTAGTTCTAAAATAAATTATAGGGGGAGAAGCTAACTAGTATACTAATTAGCACCTCATGGGACAGTGGTCATGCATGAAACATAGTTGGGGAAGTGGAAGTATATACCTCTCTTCTCTCCCTTTCTTCCTAACCCCAAACACTACTATCTGCCTTCTGCTCATCTCATGCCCTCACCTTCTCAGGGATAGGCAAGAAAATACTGAGTCTCTACACATCCCTTATTTAAGTCCTATGGTAGAAGTGTATTATACAACTTGAAACATAGTGACAGCAGCATTATTATTCTGTTAGGTTAAGATACCATACAGGATCTTAAGGAATTTGGATCAATCATCCAGTTGATGAAATCAGTTGTTTCTAGTTGTGTTAAAGACGAATTTTCCTATTATTGATTAAGATGGTAATGCAAAGCAATTTTCTGGAGCAATCGTCTACAAAGTGAGAGATAGATTAGCCAACTACAACGTGAGCAGAGATGTTCTACCCTCTGAGATTAGAAGGGAAGGGGACTCTGTGCCCATTCTTCCATTGACAACACATTCATTTCAAAACTTCCTTTAGGGATTATAATGGCATAATCTCGCCCTCTGCCAGTATCTTTTTATAGAGATTACTCCTAAGAAATCTGAGCTGTACTACTGACCCTTGAGTCCACTTCTGTATTTCAGGCTTTAGTGATGACTTTTTTTCTCATTATTTCCTTGTTACTTTTTTCTTTGTAGACCTGGCCAGAGGAGTATGGATGACCTAGAGATTATCTATGATGAGCTCCTTCACATTAAAGCCTTATCCCATCTTTCTACCACCGTAAGTTGTCTCTTATTGAGCAAGGTCAGTTAAATGCAGTTAGGACTAGAGGAGTGTATTTGGCATGGAGAGCAGGAATATCTGAATTCTGCCTCATAAATCATCCCTAGTCTTTCCCATGAGTTGCTAAGTAAGTTGTACCCAAGAAGAATCACTGTAATGGGATCAAGTATTGTCACATCATTAGTAGTCGCCCAGGTGCTGTAAACCCCAAAGCAATTTGATGTGAGTGGGATTGGAACATATGCTTCATCCTTCCAAGTCTGAACTATGGAACCTGCACACCTAGGCAAGAGAGCTAGGCCTTCAAAATGGCTTGGAGGCCCTCCCATAAAATACAGAGCCAGAGGGAAGAGGGAGATAAATCAGGGTGACCTGTCCTGGCCCAAGTGGCCAGCTTTTGCTGCCCTATTGAGAAAGGATGCAGAAGGTTCAAGAGAGAATTACTTCAGATATGTTAGGGCACAATAGCAATACCCAATAGTGACAAATGGCCCAATGGCTGTGTTTGGCTCTAAAATTCTACGTGACTAGGATATTTAGGAAAGCAGGACAGAAACATCTCCCCCTATAGAAGGATCATAGGAACAGGATTTCTAGGCAACACATCGTCTCCTATATGTTAATAACTCAACACCAATAATAAAAAGAAGTTGTTGCAATGTTCACAGATTATATACCGAGGCCCCTTAGCAACGTCTGCATTCCTAATTTGCCTTTCGTTCCCAGCTCCGTAGCGGATGCTATGCTATCATATGCTAGCAGTGTCTGTGGTCCCTGCTCCGGGGGGTCTCTGAAGAGAGCAGCGAGGCATTTGTCACGGCCCCAAGCAGAAGGGCTCCAAATGCCTCCCTCTTCAACCTACAGAGCTGCCTTCACATTCCTCCCCCCTCCCCCGCTCTCCCGAGGGGTCCACAAGCTTGCTCACCTGGTAGAGAAACCAGGAGTGTGGTCCAGCCTCCCCACCACTGTCCTCTCATCCTCACTTCATCTGTGGGGAGAGGGAGGAGGTCTAGTGTCTGGGAGCCTCACCGGGGAGCCCCCGCAAATGTAAGCGCCAGGGGCTCACACCGCAGAGGAAGGTGCGGGGAGACCCCTTTCCCTACCTGTGCTCCAGGTCCCCAGGATGCCCCTGTCCTGACTCCCCCAGTCCTGACGGGATGGAGAGGAGTGTGGATAGTCTCCTCCTCTCCCTCAAACCACAGGTACCCAGGCACTGGGGAAAATTCTCAGGCTACTTGGTACTTAGGGAGAAGGAGCCATAATTTGGGGCCATAATTTGGAATAAAAAAATTTTTCTTAGCTATCTCGTAATATAAATATGCTTACACATTTGAGCTTAATAATTCAACTTGAAGACACTGACTTTCCCAACACGTTTGCAGGGATGCATTATGTGGGACGCAGGGAAGAGCCTGTAACAGCAATGGAGTCACATGATATTATAGATGCTCTTACCTTCTCGCCCAAGACAAAAGATAGGCAGTGAAATTGGCTAGTGCATATGTGTGAAACCACATAAACCATCTGTAGGGCAGTGGTCTTGTATGAATGAGCGTATACAATAGCTCATGTTAGAGCTTTGAGGATTTAGCGGCAAATCTAGTGAACGTGGTTCTAGACAACAGTAGCGCAAGCAGCGCCGGAGACAGCTGTGTGGGAAGAGGGACAGTTAGCACTGTTCAGAAAGGGAACATGTCTCCCCCCCCCCCAAAAAAAAAAAATCTGGCCTTTCCACATCCTTTCTCTTTTCCTTCTAGGTGAAACGGGAGCTAGCAGGTGTTCTCATCTTTGAGTCTCACGCCAAAGGAGGCACCGTGTGTAAGTGAAAGCTGTCATCGGACGTTGCGCCTGGCTAGTCCCCTCGGGAGCCTATGCCATGGGACCCTGACTGCAAATGCGCCCCTTTCAGACTTGGCAGGACGTCCTGCAGCACTTTTTTTTCAGGATCTGTGATCATTCCCAGCACATGTCCGTTATCCTGGAGCGTGGTGGTTTTCTGGGACCAGCGCAGGGCGGGGGGGAGCAGGGGTGCTGTTGCTACTCTGAGTCTCTGCCCAGGCCCTAGCTGCTGGCTGAAGGCAGTGTGTAAAGAGTGTGGGAGGAAGATGCTGCTCCTCAGGCAGGCCCTTTGCACGTGACCTCACTTCAGTTGGTGGTTTTAGAAGAACTAATCCATCTCTTGAAATTGCTAGTGGGAATGATAAACGATCCTGTTTTCCTTTTCTTCTCCCACTTCCACTATCAGCTCCAAGTCTCAAAGAATTTCTTTGACACAAATATTTATGCAATACTAATACTCAGGATCTCTCCAGAACCCAGTTTGTAATTTAGTTCCGTGATTCTATTTGGAAGCAAGAAATTGAAATTTGATATCAACAAATGTGAACAAAAGTATTCGGGCTAGCATTGCGCACGAATCTGCAGAGTCCTTCTTGCAAAGCAGGGTTAGTGGTCTACTCAGGTCAGGAAATGCCACCTTCTCTGATCTTCTTGGGGAATCGTGCACCTCAAGCATGCTAAGCTCTCAGAAGTTCTGCACTAAAGAAAAGCGTTCACACCAGTTAGACTCACACTTCCTAACCCGAGTGGAACACAGAACACTCGTTTAATGGATACCTGTTAACGTTTCAAGAGACACTCTCTGGAAAGTCTTGCTCTTTCTTCACACTGACTTGGGTTAGTCAAATAAGCAGAAGGCAGGACTTGCAAAAGGAGTTACAGAAGTTATATTTCAAAATGTTTTTCAGTCATCAAAAGTGGCATCTCCAACATTGACATTTATTTTAGTAAGAATGTCTTTTCTTGAAATGTTAAAGGTTCACGTTAGTTTTTATTTTCATGATCACCAGTGATGCATAACTTCTCTTTTATTCTTTTCACTCAAACTTACTGATTGTTTTCATTTTATTGTGAAATATTTAAATATTTCAAACAAATAATAGAGGTTATTACAAGCACCTTTGAAGTCTACATTAAACACTAGCATGCAATATTTTTTCATGTTTTCTAAAGAATGAAATTATTGATACAGTCGAAGGCCCCATGTTTCCTCCCTTATCTTATTCTTCTCTTTCCCTCCCACGGTAACTGCTACCCTAAATGTAGTGGTTCTCATCCCAACCCATTAAAAAAATAGATAGATAGATAGATAGATAGATAGATAGATAGATAGATATCCATAAACAATAAACAGTACCTATTTGCATGTTTTCAATTCACATTACTGGTCCGATTGCTTTTAAAAACTATTTTCTGTAGTGTAGTAAGTTTTGATGAATTGTGGGTAAAAGAGTATTGCCTGATGAACTGGATTGCTGTTAGTTGATGTCTAGTACCAATGGATTTTTCAGGGCCTGGCCAGTAGAGCAGTGTTTCTGTTCCTTTTATGTTCTATAGAAAAGGAAACAATATGCCACCTGAGTAAGTTAGTATTTGCCAGTCATTTTTTCCCCTTCTGGAATATATGTGTAATTCTGGGAGCTTAAAAATGATGATTTGATAAGCTGTAATTTATATTGATGTGCTTCTATTCTTGTCATAAGTCTTTTCTTTTTGTATCTAGTGTTTAACCAGGGGGAAGAAGGTACCTCCTGGTACATTATTCTAAAAGGATCAGTGAATGTAGTCATTTACGGCAAGGTGTGTATATATATATATATCTATATATGTATTTTTCTTTTTGAGTCTTTATTATGCTCCACTTACTAGTGTAGCTCTAAGCATTAACAATTTAGTGCTACCATTAAACTTGCAACAACATTGTTACTCGATGAAGAAAAGTCATTATAGCATCTCTAATCATAAATTATCTAAATTATTATACTCAGAGTGGTATTGAACTTTCTGGGGCCCATCCCTTATAGATTCTAATGTATACATTTAGGTTATTCCATAGCCCATATGACTCAATGAAAGGAAAATGAAACATTACAATTTAATTGTGTAACTCCTCTTCGGCATCCCTGGGTAAAGCCCATTTGTACGTAGTGTGTTAGGCGAACAGGGTCTTGGGGGTGAGGTGGGTGGGTGTTGGTTCTGTTTCAGGGGTCATCTTCCTCTGAATGTTTGCTCTCTAGGGTGTGGTCTGTACCCTGCATGAAGGAGATGATTTTGGCAAGTTGGCGCTAGTGAATGATGCCCCGAGAGCTGCCTCTATCGTTTTGCGAGAAGATAATTGCCATTTCTTAAGAGTAGACAAGGAGGATTTCAACCGGATTCTGAGGGTAAGTCCAAGGCAAAGCGTGGCTGAGGGGCATCCCATGTTTCCTTTTGCAAGAGAAGAAAAGACTCGAGTGTCATGTTAATTGAGCAGTACAGCGATTAATGAATGCTCTAGCAACAAAGAGCCTTGGTCACACACCTGGGATGTTCACTGTGCTGCTGTGCATTCTGGGGCCCAGAGGGGATATTCCAGGAAAGCTGCACCTGGGGCATGCCAGGCTAGACCAAACAACCCTGCACACGTCTGGCCCGGTCCATCAGAATAGAAGATGTAGAGGGACTGCCTTGGCAAATGTCCATGTGATACCTCCCTGACTCCTGTCTTCCTCTATCATAAACCTTTCTAGTCTCTACCTCCAACCTCATCCCAAATCTGAGCCTTTCTATAACAGCACATGCTCTCTCGAGTTAGTCAGTGGTTATATTTTAGCGGGAATTAATGTTAATCGTGGTTACTCTAACCAAGTGTTTTTATTTCAAGTGCTTTATGTCAAATTGATTCACACTAAAGGAATGTCAGACTTTGGCAAGTAGGTGAAGAGTAATTGCATTTAAAGTTGGCTCTGCAGATGGGCCTACCTTAGCTTGTTACGGTATTTATGAGAGTGGGTGATCTTTAGAAGAGACGGGCCCTGGCCTTTCCCCACCATGCAGCCCCTGGTTCCTTGGGAAGAGCAATCCAGCTGATGGCAGTGTCTCAGGTGGCCCATACTGCATCCCTCCCTCGCTTGAGTTCACCCTGAGACACAGTCCCTCTAGGATCACTTAGCTCTGTTCCCTTCCCTGCTGGCTCACAGAGCAAACTCTCTTCTCTCCTCTCCCACCCTTAGCATCTTTGTCCATCCTCCCCGAAAGTCCAAACTGCAGCTTTTATGCTTCTGGTACATTTGACATTATTTAATGATGATTTACAACATCATTCTCCATTCCTTATGCATGGACACCTATCACTACACAGCCTTACATATTTGCCTTTGGTGGCCCAATTTCTGACACCAAAGTTTGTCTTAGGAGTGCATTCTCTTAATGCAAAGAAAGTGTCACTAAAAACTATACCATTGAATAATATAGAAAAAAATACCACATAGAATTTGACGTGGTTCTTATCTAATCTCTTTTAAAATAGGGACCAAATGATGAGATAAAGCACATTACGTTTTTTAAATTAAGTAGGTAATTGAAATTTAGAGGTAAACTTGAACTAACTTTTTGAGGTTTGCACATATGGAGTTTACATTTAGCCAAAAAAATTCTTTGAAAGAATCACATAAGGACCATTATCACGGATGTGATTTATAAAATTCTTCAAAATTACTGAAAAAATGTTTTTAACACATTTCAAACTGATTTTGTAGAAATAATAATAATAAAATAAGTAAAGTCTTTTGTTCGGAGCAAAAAAGTAGCATTCCCAAGAATACTAAATGTCCTCATAAGAAAAGCAGAATGAAAGAACTTGGTTGAAGCTAAGTGCTATTGGCCACATATTTTTATAAAAAATAAATGCTTTGTTCCCTTATCTTCCCGCTGTACCACCCTCTCCCAAAAGTTTCTCAGAGCACAGCCACACTCCTCTCTACTCTGCTGATTTTCTGAATTGGGGGTAAAAGCAGAGCTTTGAAACCACATGCCCAAACCTCATCTGGTCCTCTCCCTGGCCATTCCAGCCCTTGACTTTGAAAATGACTTAATTTGTAGACACAACAATTAGCATCACAAGCACCAAATGAGTTTCTGAAGCATTTGAAATTTTTTTTCATTGTCTGAGAAAATGGCAGCATCTGTATGTGGTGTAATTTGTATTTGCAGGACGTTGAGGCGAATACAGTCAGACTGAAAGAACACGACCAAGATGTCTTGGTGCTGGAGAAGGTCCCAGCGGGGAGCAGGGCTTCTAATCAAGGAAACTCACAGCCTCAGCAAAAGTAGGTTTGCGTCCAACGCTGCAATCGCCAGACTATGATTAACCTTTTCACATGGTATCATCATTTCCACAATAGCATGTTCTCCTTTTCTGTGGGAGATGGCCGTGTGTGTGACTTTTCTCTCTATTGACTAATCACACAGTTTGTGCAGTATAATGTATCCATTTCTGGCACTGTGTTTAGCTTGGTGCTGCCTAGCGTAATGGGGGAGAATATCCCCCTACTCCAAAGATGCTCTCTGGATACAGTGTTCAACTGTGGGAGCTTTGGAACAGAAGGCATCGGGGAGAACAATGGAAGTAGGAATGCCAGGCAGCCCAAGGGCATGGAGACCCCAGGTGATGAGACCCGTTGGCATTTGAATTTCCTAGGGAGGATTTCTCAAGAAGTGTTTTCGTCTTGTTATCAGAATGAGTATCTTTGACAGAAACCCAGATTTAAATATAAGGTAGACTTGGATTGCAGCCTAGAAGCATGCCTCTGGCCTCCTCTGTCCAAAGGGTACTTGCTTCTCAGGAGCTGTGTAAACTTGGGTCTGTACAGTATGTGTATGTTCCATCCTTTGCAGCAACTTCCTACTTGAGACTCTTTCATCAAATGCACCAACAATTGGATGGTAATACAGGAGAATTAGGAAATGCAGCTCCAAGAAATTGTAGAAAATCACAGAATCTCGTTTTGAAACTGAAGATTAATTTCCAATCTTAGGATAATAAAAAGAGCAATTCTGTAGCTAAAGAAATGTCACCAAATAATATGTCGAAAAAGGAATGCATCCCAGTAATCTTTCCTTCTTTGCCATGTAAACGGGGTGTTCTCTTTGATCAGGACACTCCCCATAACTGATGGACTTTTATTGTTTAGACTAAATGCCTAAGGCTCAGATATCTTCATCTGGATGAATGGACATATTTACAAGGAAGGTGGGAAGAAATATAATATTATTGAATAGCCATAGTATATTTTGCATATCCTATATAATAAAAGGCTAATATGCAAATTGACCAATCAGCGGAACGACTGGTCGCTGTGATGCGCACTGACCACCAAGGGGCAGACACTCAACACAGGAGCTGTCCCCTGGTGGTCAGTGCACTCCCACAGGGGGAGCGCCGCTCAGCCAGAAGCCCTGAGCCAGGCTCACGGCTGGCGAGCGCAGCCGTGGTGGCAGGAGCCTCTCCCACCTCCACGGCAGCACTAAGGATGTCTGACTGATGGCTTAGGCCTAAGCCCCCCAAGGGCTCCTGGACTGCGAGAGGGCGCAAGCTGGGCTAAGCCACCACCCCCCCCCAGGGCTTGAATTTTGTGCACCGGGCCTCTAGGATTATATAATCCCATATTACAACTCCTTTCAACAGATAGAAAAATTTAGGCTCAGAGAAGCAAGTTACTTGCCCAAGATTACAAAGCTTATAAGGATAGAGCTGGGATTCAAGTCCAGCTTGATCAATGCCCATGCCTTTTCTCCTGCAGCCTTGCAGGTTATTATAGCAAAACATGGTATATAAATACTGTATCCTCAACACTATGTAGTAAACCTTGCAAACCAATATATTTCAAAAGGAGTGACATAAAATGAACTATATAAGACATATCCTGCCCTAGCTGGTTTGGCTCAGTGGATAGAGTGTCGGCCTGCGGACTCAAGGGTCCCAGGTTTGATTCCGGTCAAGGGCATGTACCTTGGCTGCGGGCACATCCCCAGTAGGGAGTGTGCAGGAGGCAGCTGATCGATGTTTCTCTCTCATCGATGTTTCTAACTCTCTATCCTTCTCCCTTCCTCTCTGTAAAAAATCAATAAAATATATTTAAAAAAGAGTAATTCACTATCAAAATTCTTTAAAAAATAAAAAAGACATATCCTTTCACTTACAAATCTATAAATGACCATCCAGAATTCTTCATTATTTTTTTTCACTGACATCCATTCTTGAAAATGTTCATGCTCAAGTTTTTTTAATAGTTGTCCTTCCAGCCCATAGAGGATGAAAATTAAGACATATTTTATGTGAAGGTTGGGACTATCTCCAATGATTTTCCTTAATGCTCTTACATGGAACTAGGACATTTACGGTGATGATCTGCATTCTTTAATAATGCTTCAGGTGTCTCAGGAAAATTTTGCAACCTGAAAAGGGAAGCCTTGAACATTCTCCGTAACCTTGAAACATTTGGCCAAGAGGTCCCCTGGAGGTCCCCATCTTTCGCCTCTTCATTTTGATCTTCATGGCAGAATGATCAAAAGCGTTTGCTTGTTACAACATCTTCCATTCAGAGCATAATCCAAATATAGATTTTTTTAATGAAATCAAACTAAAGAGAACAGAAAAGGAGAGGCCATGTGTATTAAACTTATTTTAGGGCCCGGATCTGATTTCTGTTATATCTCCTTATATGTGTCCTCTAGACCAATCCAAATTTCTTATATAATTAAAAAACCTGGCATGTTCTCAGCATTAAGAAATATCAATGAGTACAAAATAATGTGACAGCAAAGTCAGTTTCCTGAAGAATACAAAGCTACTCTCTCAGGGGGTTATTTTCCATGTTGAGCTTCCCCAAGCCAGACCTGAGTTGAAAAGGGGAGGCTGTGTGAGAGAATTTTGGCCTGATCTTCTGGATAACTTCAGTAACATGGCAACAATCTTGTCTATGGATGGACTTAAAATTTAGGAACCATTAGGACTTCTATCTCCTCAGAAATTGTCTTTTTTGAACTTAAAAAAGGTTACGTTTGGTGCGATAATAATGTTATTTTTCTGATTCCCTTTTCCCCTGAGAAATCCAGAAAAGTTTCAGAATTGCCTAACTCTACCCAAGCCACTCCCTGTGAGTGTGATAGTCAAATGTCAATTGCAAGACAGTATTTCTCATGATGTATCAACTTTATGGAGCCCTCAAAATTTACCATTCTGGTTATCCTCTGCTCTGTGGTCATGTGGTTTTAGTAAGAAAGAAAGAATTTCAGATGACTGTGTTAGTTACTGTGTTGCTCATCCTTAGACTATCAAACTCCAACCTGTCTGCAGAAAGATAATCTCTTTCAGGCTTCCCCCCTCCCCCCTCCACACACACCTTTGTTGTTGTTGTTGTTGTTGTTGTTGTTCTAGGTACAGATGGAAGTGTCTGATTTCCTAACTTCATTTCCAGACTTGAAGTTAGGGGAAGATTTTCTGTCACAGGTTTAAGCCCTCACAACTTGGATAATGTAACCAATTGGGGTTCTCTTTAACTTGGGCTAAATTAGCTCCTTTGTGCAATAAACTGAACAGAGTCATGCTGTCTGGTCTTCAAGTCCCGCATTTAAACAGAGGTCAGCAGTAGACGCCTGGGAATGCCCAGCCTGAAACAAAGCAATAACGTGATGTTTCAGTCAAACCCGGAGCTGCAAGACCACACAGATGGCTATGCCTGGCCAGAAACTCCCTGGCCCTCAGCCTTCAGAGGTCCCTGCCTTAAAAGAACGTCACACCAGACAGCCCTCCCTGGCGCCCACAAGAGGGAGAGGTGGGTAACATGGCCACAGCAGGGGGAGCCACTAGAGGGAGCCTTTGGTAGCAAAAGAAAGATCCCCTGGTGTCAGATGGACCCTGTGGCCAAGTTTAGAGAGACCACTTCTATTCAGTGAACTGATAGGATTCTTGGCCTGCTGCTCTGGTCTTTCCTCTTTCTGACCAGACATAGTACCCTAGGTAAGGGATGTCCACACTGGGAACACAGAATGTGAAGCCAACCTTCCATCAGAGTTAAACGTTTACTAGCGGCAGCTGCCCAGCACCGTGGTAAATAACAAGTAACTGGTTTTTAATGTAACATATTTACACTCCACATAAAGCTCATTTTTCAGAAAAAAAGCAAACAAGTTCCCTTCAGAAGGGGTTTTCCATTGCACAGCTGACTTCCTGTTCAGAATGGGCTCCAAGTACCTAGACGCAGCTTCTGCCTGGTGCCCAGGACGCCCTTGCAGCGACCTGAGACTCACGCTGTGCGCTGCCCGGGGCTCACAGCAGGGACCTCGTGTTTACGCACCGTGTGACCGCGGGCCTGATGCCTCCCCTTGCAGAGCAGTTTCTCCGCCTGCAGAATAAAGCTAACATTTAACTAGCAGGAGTAAAGGTGAGGACACTGCTCAGGGCCCACCTCGTTGTCCGGGGCACAGTCAACATTTGACAGATGCGGAGCGCCCCCTCCCACCCCAGGTCCTTACCATGTGGCCAGATGCTGCTCCCTTTCCAGCGCATCTGCTGAGCACCATCCCAGAATCATGCATTTTAGGAGTCGCTGAACGCAAACAGCAATTTTTTCCCTTTGAAGCGTTGATAGTATTTATAGATATGCCCTCTCTTTTTCTCAAATATTCACTGCCTACAAGAGGAAAAAACCATTGTCTTCTACCTTATTTACTTTGAGAAAAGGGTCATGCTTTTGAGATTAAAGTATTTTTTTTCCCTATTTCCCCTCTTCTTCTCTAGTCTCCAAATCCAGGCTTCCTCAAAGATTTAACTCTTCAATTCTTTTTGCCCCTGTGTACACGCACACATGTGTAGACATGCACACACATACACACACACACACACGCAATATGTGTTTTTAAAATTTTTTGTTAATCTGCACCTGAGGATATTTTTCCCATTGATTTTCAGAGATAGTAGAAAGGAGTGGGGGGAGAGACAGAGAGAAAGAAAGAGAGAGCGAGATTGATGTGAAAGAGGCACCCATTGGTTGCCTCAACACGTGCCCCAACTGGGGCCAGGGATCAAACCTGCAACCCAGGTACATGCCCTTGACCAGGAATCGAACCCGAGATCCATCAGTGCACAGGCCAACACTCTAACCACTGAGCATACTGGCCAGGGCTGACACAGAATAGTTTTAGCTAATGGTTGCCGTCCAGGTAGACTGCACTTATTACCTCATTCAATACCAGAGTTGCTTCATGCACTCTCCGTCTTTGTTTTCACATGCAGATGGTCGTATGTTGAACTGCCTCTTCTTCACTCCCTCAGGCATGAGGTTAAAACCCTGAGATTTAATATGTTAGGGAAATTCTTGGGATTTCAATGCACTACCTCCAAGGCCTCAAACAAGAAAGGATGTTGGTGAGAAGGCGAAGGAATTTAGGTTCTCCTAGAGCCAAATTCTACCACTGCTCTATGAACATAAGAGACTGTTATTTTCATTGTTGTTTTTTCTCCCCTGTCATTTTGCTGTGGATGAAATGCCAAGCAGAAAAGCAAAGTCTGAATTTTGGAATAGGAGCCCCATATCATCTTAATGTATTTTGCCTCTAAGTTTTCATTCACTGTCTTGTTACCATCTTGAATATGACTTTGAAATAACTCACATTCAATTTTAAAAATAAATCCTTTCATGCTGATTGAAGATCTGCATAAATGGATCTTCTGAAATAATAACACCTCCCCAAAAATATATTTGACATTGAAATAAATTATGTGAATTTCCTGTTGCTGATTTATTGCTTATTCAGAGGCTATTGGGGTTTGCTTGTTTGCTCATTGGTGTTTGGGTTTGGGGGTGTGTGTTTTTCTCCTGCTTTATTCTTAGCTGTATTTCCAAAGCACATGCCAATGTACAGTTGGAAAAGACAGAGCATTCCAGAAATAGGCAGGGGAATCCACTGTGGGACTGAAATTTCGCTACAAGTAACCCATATATGGGTAACCTAGTTTACTGTCGCTTCCCCTCTCTGCTCCCCGTGCCTGCCCTGAATTGCCCTGGGATTCACATGCTTCTTCTCATTCCTCTCGGAGCAAGGCTGGAGTTGCTCAGTTCCCAGCCTGCCAGAGCCGCTCTCCAAGAAATTTACTTTAGTTCCATGTAGGGAAAAAGAGTCACGTTTTAGTAACGACTTCCACTTGTGGTTTTTTCATTGTCCTCCTGTGTGACTGGCAAAGTACATGGTCTCTCTTGCAGTGGTTCTCAACCTTCCTGATGCCGCGACCCTTTAATACAGTTCCTCATGTTGTGGTGGCCCCCAACCATAAACTTATTTTTGTTGCTACTTCATAACTGTAATTTTGCTACTGTTATGAATCGTCATGTAAATATCTGATATGCAGGGTGTATTTTCAGGGGTTGCGACCCACAGGTTGAGAACCGCTGCGAGAATATGGGCCATAAGTTAAGTTGAAATGGTTTCCTGGGATCTAAAAAAAAAAATCTTAGATATGTGAAAAGTTATTTATTAATGATTTGCCCACTTTTGAAAAGCTGATGATGTTTTTATTTTTTATCCAGGTATACTGTGATGTCAGGAACACCTGAAAAAATTTTAGAGCATTTTCTAGAAACAATACGCCTTGAGCCAGCTTTAAATGAAGCAACAGGTAAATACCTAGAACAGTTTGTGTGTTCACTAAACCCATGCAGAACACTGTAAAAAAAATAAATCCTGAGTTCATTCTCAGCGTGTGTGGACAAAACAGTTTTAGAAGGGGTTGTTGGATTAACATCCTAAGAGCATCCCTGTGTGGCCCACGCAGGGAGTCATCCTTCTGACCCTCCTCTGCCTGCTCCATTCCTGGCTGTCCTTCGGGAATGGCTCAATCTCATTCATACACATGAGGATTAGGCTTTTATAGGCATTTCTTAAGGTTATCACTTATTTTTAAGCCTCACCTGAGAATATGTTTATTGATTTGAAAGAGAGAGAGAGCGAGAGGAACATTGATGTGAGAAACATCGACTGGTTGCCTCCTATGCATGCCCTGACCAGATCAAACCCATGACTGGTATCAAATCCACAACCTATGTATGTGCCCTGATCAAGAATTGAACCTGCCTCCAACCAACTGAGCCACCTGGTCAGGTCTCATAGGTTAGCATTTAAATTCACCTTTACAGACATCTATTAGGTTATCATTTAAATTCCACCTATTCCCATAAAGGATTTGCTGCTGCCTACACAAGAGGCACAACCTCACTCCAATGGAGTAAAATAGTTCTGTCTGTGGTTGTAGAGTTGCGGGCTGCCCCAGAGTGTAACTACCATCACCTATATTCGTTGGCGAGGGTTGATGTAACAAAGTACCTCAAACTGGATGGCTTAAACAACAGAAGAGTATCGTCTTACAGTTCTGGAGGCTAGAAGTCTGAGATCAAGGTGGCGGTAGGGTTGGTTCCTTCTGAGGGCTGTGAGGGGGAACCTGCTCCATGCCCCTCTCCTGGCCTCTGGCTTTTAGCCGGCAATCTTTGATGTTCCGCGACTCATAGATGCACCACCCCAAACTCTGCCCTCCTTGTCACATGTTCTCCCTAACTCTTCACATAACCTTTCTTCTGTGCATCTATCTCTGTTTCCAAAGTTTCTCTTTTTATAAGGACAGCACTCATATCGGATTAGGGCCCACACTAGACCACATCTCAATTTGACAACACCTACAAAGACCCTATTTCCAATAAGGTCACATTCTGAAGTATTGGGGATTGGGACTTCAACATGTCTTTTGGGAGGATAAAATTCAACACATAACACTACCTTACAGTAGTATTCACTAAGACTCAGAGATTGGAGGGTGAATGAGATGAATCTTGCGGGTGAACTGAGTGTCCAGTTATACTATCATTCTCCACTTTGGGAACCATCTTGTGTTAACTTTAGAATAGTCTACATTCAATTTAAAAAAAATTCTATGCTACTGGCCTCTCACTCAGAATAAAAGGTTAATATTGTAAGCAAACTGAACTACATGAAAGAAGATTTCTCATTAAAAGAAGTTCAAAGACTTATCTAACAACCCAGTGGTAGTTCAAGGTCCATTTCCACCATCTGTGAGTGAAATTACTATTTTTATGTACCTTCTAAAAGTATTTTAGCTCTGATTACTTCTTATTTTAGCTCTTCATTCCAGCTTCTCATTTTATAAAGAGATTATCTGAGATCTTTCTTTATATAGCGAGTTAATTGGGGAGTCGTTGTTATAAAGCCAGGATCTCTGGCTCCAGGGCAGCTATTTTTGCCTCCGTATTTGTTGAGTATCTCCCTGGGAAAGCACTAAGCTCAATGCTCTGGACAAGGCACGCGCTGGAGTTTATAACCAACTAGAGGACACAAAGGAATGTGCAAACAGCTGGACCATCAGGCAGGATGTGGTCAGTGCTTCAGGAGCACTGACTAATTGAAGGGGTCGGGCAAAGTATCATGAAGAATATACCCTTCAAAATGGCCCTGAAAACAGTCTGGTGTCTAGTCACTGGAGCCTGGGGGCAAAGCGTTCCACACGGAAGTGCAACATCAGTACTGACACAGAAGCGGTCAGGTCAAGCAGCTTGGTTTTGTTGGGCGATCATATACAGAAGTGGGAGAAGGAAGGTAAGGCCTAAGCATTTGACTACAGATCCTGGAGGATCTTAAGTGCAAAGCTAAGCATTGGGGAGAATGTGACGGGCCCCGTGATGAGAAACTAAAGGATGCAGTGAAGTGGGTAGTTGCCATGCAACGTGGCCGCTCCCCAGCCTTGGAGTGCTCTACTGAAATCCCCGCATTAGCAAAGTGTGAACTACTGTATAGCACAGGCCTTCTGGGAGCCTCATAAGCAAGGATCATCTCCCCTCTCCTCAGAGAATATCTAAAACATGTAAAGGAGACCCTAGATGTCAAACTTGGACAAGCCAAAGTCCCTTTGTTCTATACAACTTCTGTCTGCATCCTCTCTGGTTCAGTATACTGGGACTGAAATGACTGGTAACACCGAGTAATGACAGGATGACAGCTTGGGGTTACACTTATCCCTTATATTTTAATGAGAATAGTGGTATTATGGGACGTGGTAGAGGCATTTGCTGACACCACAGAGGTAATCATATTGCAATATATAAATGTATTAAATCAATACATTGTACACCTTAAACTTACGTAATGTTGTATGTCAGTTATATCTCAATTTTTTAGATGAGTATAATAGTTAAACCTGTAATCACTGATTCCAACTTTGCCAATATAAGTTCATTTAAATAGGCAGTAATGTTTATCTAATTTTATATAGTTAAAATTTTCACATTTCTCACCACTTTCTATTTGAAAAGCTATGTGAGTTTCACAAATCTCAGCCAGTGTAGTTCATGTTTCAATTGAAAGTCCCCATGGCATCTTGGATTCCAAGTTTCATCAGGTGGATTCCACAGGCTCTCAGGCCTGCCTTCATGTGCTTTTCCACCAACGCTGACTAGAGAATGTTGTCTTTGCAATGAAGAACCAGCATGAATTCAGAATGAAGCAAATGAAGCTTATCTTTGGGACTTGCCTTATTACCTACCTACAAAACAGCTTCAACTACAGGACAGTCACCATTTTAATCTACTAGAGAGCTTTGTTTTGCTTCTGTTGCTACTCACAGCCTGTTTTATTTTCTCTCTTTTCCTTTCCATATTTTGTTATCCTCACCAGTTCTCTGCTGTTACCACCTTCTTTTTCTGTAATTCCATCATCCTCTCATCCTTCATTGCTCCCTCTGGAAATAGAAGGTGAAAAAGAGATAAAGAAAAGGTGATATTGACAAAAGACATATGGTGTAAAGGTGACAAATGACCATGTTTCTTTGCATACATGGTACTATCCATGGGTTTCTCTCTCTCTCTCTCTCTCTCTCTCTCTATATATATATATATATATATATATATATATATATATATATTCAGGAAGTTATTTTTATATGCAGTGCTTCTGTGTATAGTAAAACCATAATTCTCCAAGCCAGTATATGAGAACCAAAGAATAGATACACTTGCTTTCCTAAAGATTTCTCTAAGAACCTAATTTCCTTTTTTGCTTTGCATTTTCTTTCCCCTGCAGATTCTGTTTTAAATGACTTTGTTATGATGCACTGTGTTTTTATGCCAAATACCCAGCTTTGCCCAGCCCTGGTGGCCCAATATCCTTTTACTGTGAAAAGTCTCTATTCCCTTCAAGACACCCTACATGTACATGGCCATTACCTCACCCCAGCCTCTGAAGGTAAGTCATGGCCCAGGCAGAGCGGTGCTTCCCCAGCATAGACCCCAGCTCTCCTTGGCATGGTTTTGCTGTGTCATGTTGGAGGATTTCTTCCTCATTACTGGTGCAAAATGGGAATCAAGTCACTTCAGGAAGGTGATACCGGTCAGAAACATACATACCTGGGAGGTAGGCTAGAGAAATGTATGGAGAAGAATCTGGGAGTATTACTAGGGGTAATACTAACCTGGGAGGCAGACATTGTACCTGTTAGGATACCGGGCAGGTTGGGTCGTGGCCTGCTTGTGTTCCTCCTCTAAGCTGTAGTATTAATCTGACCACTAACCCACTGGCTTAAAGACAAGTTATCATTAGGGGATAGCTTTTCTTTTACATTTGTCCTGGTCCATCCTCTCCTCTAGATACTGAAAATTCATTCCTTCATTGCTATTTTTATTATCATTACATTTACTTAAAGTTATAAAACTTGAAATTCTAATGGCAGTTCTTCTTGGCAGCTTAAAAGTTGAGTTTGTTTGGGGCAGCTTTTCAATAGTCTGTTGAATTGACCACTTGGTATACCATGTCTGGCTCAGAGGGAACTTTCAGAAAACGTAAATTAAGTAAAAGAAGTAAATATTATTAATAAGACACACTCTCAATTTGGGGGTTGGGGGCTATGTGAAAACGTATTTTCCGATTCTGCTTTATTTTTAAAGCAACAAAAATGTAGAACCCAAAACACTTTGGCCTTTTGTGAGCAGTTAAATATATTGAAGGAGAATAGCTTTCTTTTTTCTGGGCAATCCAATCAACATTGGGAATGCTTTCTTTTTTCAGAATTATAATTGCCCTATCTGATTCTCATTTTCTTGTTCACCCATCATTCTCTTTGAAGTCAATAGAATGCGTGAGGATAGGAGATTTGAGTTGAATGTGTTATTCAGAGGGAACTGCAAGAGTGAAATTTGGGTATTTGCCTGGGAACTATCTTACTAAGTAAAGACAGCTTAATGAGACTTATATTTTATATGTTCTTTCTGGCTCATAACCAGTTTTTCTCAAGTAAAATGAACACACTCAGAATCTCTCTGTGCTCTTTCAGCTCCATACACGATAGTCATTCTTAGATCTTTGAGATTTGTTGGAAGGAAAAATAAAAACCACCATTGAATATACACTAATTTTTTCAACAGCACATGGATAAGCTTAAGTCAAACAAAATAAAAAAGAGTAAGAGAGTACAGTGGACTTAAAAACCAAAGGAAGAGTAAGAGTACTTTGGGCTATAAGTCATATCATCTTACTACTCAAGCCCCCAATACTAATTTAATTTTTTGCAAATTCTGATTTGTTCATTTATTAGCTTATTCTCCTCTAGAGTTGATTGAAAACATTCGTTACCACTGACCTCTGTTTTTAAATAAAAAATCCTAAAGTCCTGGCCATTCTAGGTAGGAAGGTATGGCAGTAATGATGTTGGGGGCCAGGGGAGGTGGAGACAGGGAAGTGAACAATAGAATCAAGAGGAACCTGTGTACCCAATCCTAGTTCTTTTCTCAGGAGATAGCCACCTAGTGCTCTAGACCCCCCTCATCATACCTGGCCCTGCAGGAACCTAGATTCTCTCCACTATTCTATTTGGAATCAATTACTTACGTGTCAGGCGCCATGCTAAGAGCATCAGCCTGTAACATACCACTTACCCTTACAGGAGTCTGTTGGGTTAGTATTAGCTTTATGACACAAATGAGGATTTTGAAGTTCAGAAAAATGGAGTGACGTGCCCAAGGCAGTGACAGAGCCATGATTCACCCAAGTCTCAGCATTCCACGCCTGGGTATGGCGGCTCTTTCTTTATAACTTAGTTCCTTAAAAGCTTATCCCTTAATTACCATTTAAGAACATTTTTTGACAATGTATTGTACAACTGAGGTGGCTAAAACCAAAGTAGGCCTAATTTATTGAAAGCAAATAGATGGAGTGTCCAACAGAACATTTGTAATGATGGGAATGTTCCACATCTGTGCTAGCCCGGTAGCCACTGGCCTTGAAATTGGCTACTATGATGGGTGAACTGAATTTTTATATTGTATTTAACTTTCATTAATTTAAATAGCCACTTGGGCAGCCTAAGCCTGGTCCTTAGATACTGGGAATAAGAGCCTCAAACAAGAACTACTGTTCTGTAATGCCCAGGGAGGGTGTGCCTGGGAGGGCGTGCCGGAGAGTTTGTCCTGCTGCGTGCAAGCAAATGGAAGAGGCTCTATCCCAGAAGGCCATACATGTCTAAGTGCTTCTACTTAATGCTAAGGATTCAGTTTTTAATCCCTTTCTATCTGGGGAGATGTTATATAAGCAACCTTTCTTTGGTTATGAGTAACATAAGACAACCATGACTGGCAACGAAAGGAATCTAAGAAAAATATGGGGTAACTCAGAGAATTGAAGGAATCTTTGAAGAGCCCAGGCCTTAGAAAGGGGCTCGAGGCAGCAACTGAAGGCAGTGCTGTTGGGGTAAATCTGCTCCAACATCCTGGGCCCTCACCTCCTCCCATATCTCTGGGAAGTGGGGGCCAGTTGGCCTAGCCTGGATCACTGCTGACATCTTAGTCAAGGGAAGGCAATGCCCTTTACTGGAGGGAGACTGCCTATGAAGAAAAACAAAGTGCAGAAATAGATGATGGGCAGACAAAAACAGCATACACGTAAACCGCGTAACACCACATGCACAGCGACAGGGGATACAATGTAAACCTGAACAAGGGAGTTAACCCCCATGTTCTTAACACAGGATGTAAGGATGTTAAAATACTTAACCAAGTTCCATTTAAGCACCCACGTTAAAGTGCGTTGCTTTGGCTGAGTGTTTTCAAAGTACTTAATATGTGACTTTTCACAGCAGCCCTCTGTAGAAGTCAGTATTTTCACTCCTCTTTTTCCAAATCAATAAATTAGAATAATGAAAAATTATGATTTGCTCAGAGAAAGGTAATTACTAGTACGGAAAAGATTTAATTCTTGAGCTACTGACACTTATTTCTGTCCTTATTCCACATTGTGTGTCTCCTCCAATTTTGCTTTTAGCACAGAGGAAGGTGGTAGAACTCTGTTTAACATTAATATTTCAGGCCTTTTATGTGCTAATGAGAGAGAGTCTCTATTCATTAGATACGCTTGGGACATGATTTGACCTGATGAATACAAGTGCTTTATAATGAGTTTTTAAAATTATATTTGTTCAGTTTCTGTCCTTTTCATCTCCAGTTTTTGTAACCTTTTTTAAATCTATACTTAAAATTCAGTTCAATCTTCCATTAGTCTTTAAAAGGAAAATTAAAACCAACTATCACCTCACCAGGTATTACTGTTGTTAACATGTTAGTATGTATCCTTCCAGGCTTTTTCAAAAACAAATAGATTTATAATTATAAATATAATAATGGGATCATACTATAAATAATTGTGTGTGCTTTGTCACTAAACAGTACTTTATGAATATCTTTCTTTGCCACTAAATACTTTTCCACACCATTTTTCTAAATATAGATAGCTTTGTCATTTTTAAAACTAAAACATTCTCACTGTAAAAAAAAATTCAATTTATAGAAAAAGGGAAGAGAGAAAAATTCATCTGGTCTCTTACCACTGTTTTGTGAAAAACCTTCCAGAAATTTTATATAATTTCATATACATGAGATCATGTTACATGTGGGTTTTTTTGTAATATTTTTTCCCTCTTACTGGTATGTTGTGGATATCTTTTCAAATATATATATATATATATATATATATATATATGTGTGTGTGTGTGTGTGTGTGTGTGTGTGTGTGTGTATAATTTTTTTCAGGTAATTCCACAAACATTTATTGGGCACTTACAATGTGTCATACAGTGCTGGGCAATAAGGTGACAAAGATGCATGAAAAAAACACTATCATTTTTAATGACTCAATATTATATGGCAGATATGTCATAATTTACTTTCTTAGCCTCTTCCTATTGGATATTTAGATTATTTTCACATTTTTCCTGTAACAAATATAAGGGGATGAATCTACGTACTTCCAGCTAAATCTTTGCCCACATAGATGATAATATTGCTTTAAATTTCTAAAAGTAGGCAAAGAATATGTAATATGTTAACATGTTTGGTGTTCATTACCAAATTGCTCTCTGATTGTCTTAATTTCTGTGTTTCATGACTACACTCTGCTATATTTTTGTTTATATACAAACATAGTCAGTCCTTCAATTCAGTATATGGTCACAACTAAGTTAATATTATTTTGAATTTAATAACTGTATCCTTGATTCAGAGCATTTTCATACATTTACTTTATCATTCTAACACCCAGCTCCCACTTTGAGGCAAAAAATGGACTGGTATGATATTTATTTCATTTTACATGTAGGAGAAATCAAGGACATGGAAGCCAAATAATCACCTAAGATTCCTCACATACTGGCAGAAACTCCAGGAGGCACTAATGAGAATCTAGACCAGTGATGGCGAACCTATGACACGCGTGTCAGAGGTGACACGCGAACTCATTTTTTTGGTTGATTTTTCTTTGTTAAATGGCATTTAAATATATAAAATAAATATCAAAAATGTAAGTCTTTGTTTTACTATGGTTGCAAATATCAAAAAATTTCTATATGTGACACGGCACCAGAGTTAAGTTAGGGTTTTTCAAAATGCTGACACGCCGAGCTCAAAAGGTTCGCCATCACTGACCTAGACAATGGAGTGGACATTGTAGTTGACTTCCTGACGTCAGTGTGATCTCCGTTGGTCATTCTAGCTTCTTATAGTAGGTGGCTGCCCTTGACCATGATTCGTTCTCAATTGCAGGCCCAAGGCACACTGGCACAATAGATTCAAAGAGAGGCTTTCTGGGGCTTCTGGGTAAAAAGCTTTTTCACCATTTAAG